ATTAAACACCTTGATAAGGGCGGTCTAGGTACTGTGGTGAGCACGGAGAGTTGAAGATCTCACTCAGCATCATTCACGAGATAGAGAAGAACACCTCTTTACTTGGACTTCCTCAGACCTCTTAATTCACCAGCGGGGACACGGCTTCCAAGACATGAAGGGCTGTATAGATGGCCAGATATGGGAGTCATATGAGAGGATTGGACTTGCACTGAGAGCCAGGTGCCCTCATGTGCCCCACGATGAGGCAGAGACCATCTCACTATGAACTTTTTTTGTTCCTTTATTTTCAAAAGCAAGGGCTGTAAGGTGGAGCAATTTGTAGCACTGTTTCTTTGCAACGTGTTTGCCAGTTCTCCCCTTGCATGCGCGGGTTTTCTCCGGGTGCACCGGCTTCCTCCCGCACAAAAACATACCTGTGAGGTTAATTGATATTTCCAAATTGTCGTTAAGTGTGAGTGTAATTGGTTGTATGCCTCTGCGTTGCCCAGCAATATACTGATGACCTGTCTTTGGCTTAAAGGGTTCATAGAATGCAAAGCTCAGTTTACATTGTCATAGATAAATAACGATAGTTCAGTGGGTGAAATGGATGTACAGAGAAGTTCCAAGCCCATTGACACCTCCTTTCTCTGCAAATCTCACAAGTCTAAACTTCCACCACAAAACAGGCGAATCCAAACAAATTCACTATTTTGGTTCTGGCCTGTACTTTTGTCACACCCATACTTATATCAAGGATCAGATAACTTACCTGTAATTTATGGCCCACGTATGAGCATACGCTGGCATATGTCGGGACGTACTTGCTGTATGTCGACATGTACCAGCGTGCTTCAGGGTACTTCAGCGTGCTCATAACTTATACAAAACGTACCCATAACTTATCCAATGTATGCCAGCATTTTTGCCAGATCTGTCGCTTGCAAATCATCAAGGTGTGATAGGGGCTTCAGAGTTTTTCACAATCTATTGATTGTGGTGAACCCTCACAAATAGGTGCTCTCGATCGTTCATCAGCTGTCCTTGTAGTTACAGATTTCCTAGGTGAGCAGTGCGGTAAATTGGTTCATTCAGACGTGATGTAAGTTAAACTTATATCATCCAGTTGCGTGGGCCTCACAAACATGTAAAACATGACTCAAATTTAATTTTAGTCTTACTAGAAGACTTCCTTCTATGCATTGTATCTTTAGCTTTACATTAACTGCGGCTTTACATCTTCAACTATAACTCAGCTAGGTTAAAAGAACTTCCCAAATGCGTACACCCAAACATCTTCCTATAATACCCAAACAGTTTTTCTGTCCATGCTTAGGGAAGGTATATTCTCATTATGATACTATCTCCACTATGTTTCCCTATATGTTTGGTTTTGTCAAGGTTATATACAGCTTTTGTTCATAATGCTGGGCTAATTAATGTGTTTGCAAGGAACTGTTAATGCTCACTTTTCTTATTGGTGTAGTAAACTTACTGTATAACTAACTGCTGTTTTTCTCTTTGCAGATTGGTTACTGGAACGAGTACACACGATTTGTAAATATTATGGATCCGCAGGTCTCCAACGACTCCTCAGTGGAAAACCGAACCATTGTGGTCACTACTATTATGGTACACTTTCCACGCAGTTTTAAGTGTGTCACATATTCTGCCACTCGAGGTCATGGTGTTGATTCCAACAAGTGATACATTCTGTCCTGGACGGGTAGAACCACATCTTTTTTGTGTTGCTTTCCACCCACTCACTACATGTTGAAACAGTCGGCCCCAAACCAGCAAAGGTGGCAGTTTCGAGCGATGGGGGAGTGTTTCGACTGTATACGTGTGGGTGTCAAAGCATTTTGGTTTTCCATGTTTTAGTGGCCTGTCGTAGCAGTGACGTCACAATAAATGGTGTAAGTGATTAAGGTTGACTCCATCAGTCACAAAAAAAACAAAACATAAAAACGCATACGTAAGTAGACCCGTCTGTCCTCATCAAGTAAATGTTCAATGACACTTGGGACAGACTGACTGCATAATGATGAGAGAATGATGCTACAGTGGTTTCACAAGCTGGGCAAAGCAAAATAAACAGCATTGGAGAAGGATTGGTTGGTATGGCGGTTTCCCCTGTTATTACTTCTCCAATCTATTTTGTATTGCTCTTCCATGTGTTCTGTGCTGAAGTATGCACTAATCCTCAGCACTTTACTGTGTTGCAAAAATAAGAATAGAACACTTCTGAAATATTTTTAGGTCTAAATATATTAAATTGCCCAAATGTTTCGGGCTTAATATCCGAACTGCTTTTAAAAGATCAGAGTTATACTTATCTTAAAAAAGGATCCACTATTCTGCAAAAAAACAACATCTTTAGTAGTGACAAAGGGAAATTCATTCTGAACAGTATTGTCTCTGTTGTCTTACAAAATGTATGTACAGTTAGATGACTGAGCTTCACTCAGAAGCCAGAGGGAACAATTGGGGGGACCAAACACCATCTCTGGATAGAGAAAAAACAGAGAAGGAAATACTCTGTGGATCTGGTGTGAGGGGATACATTCAGCACAGAACAAACAAATCATTCCTCTCCCACTTGCACTTTAATTGTGTGTGGCTGTAATGACAATGCCGCCTCTCCTGAGCAGCCCTGTTGTTTCGTAATGACGATGTGCTCAGTAAGAGAAAGGACAAGCTGCACAAATCTTTTTTTAATAATGGAGTGAAACAATGTGCACGCTTCTGCTCTTCTTTTGTTATGATGATTTTTTTTTTTTTTTTTTTAAGTTGCAAAAAGCAACTTGTTAATATTTATTTATGTGCCTGCTTATTTACTAAAATTAAACAGTTTTTTAGTTTAAAGTTATTAATATCAATAATTTTTATTCATATATGTATTGATTTATTTTTTGATTTACAGTATAATAATAATAATAATAATAATAATCTAAACTTTTACAAAAAAATTGTAATTACATTCATATTTAAAAATAATATCAACCATTATTATAATTACCTCTGTTTTTTTATTATTAGTATCATAACTATCATTAATATGTGTGCAACTTTTATATATATTTATTGCCCATCCCAGTAGGGGTGGTATTTATTTACTTTGATATTTAATCAGATATCTGTTGTTTGTGAGCACACGCTTTACTGGCTGTGTGTTGGAACAACAAATTAAAGTGTAAATAGAGCTTAAATAATGGTCAAACAGGTAAATTTGCACATATATGGAATAAATTCACCTCAACTTCCTTAAAAATCATAAGTGCATGAAGAAAAAGGATTCTGCTCCAAGTCAAACATATTTAAGTTAAAAAACTCTTGACTATAATAGTGAGACATAACTAAACTAAGCTACCATGTACAAAGACAACCATGGTTGAAAACCATAATCAATGAGGTGATGCAATGATATCACAGTTTAGCATGGATATTATGACTGAGAACCAAAGTTTATCATAAAGAATTTGAAATGTGATCAACTAGATTTTTTTTAGAGCAATTGGAATGTTTTCAAACTAATTCAAAATGCAAATCCAAGAGGTGAATACATTTTTTTTTATTAAATGATTTGCTTATTCAGGAACCAGTACCCTTAAGTTAATTTATTGCTTACCTTCTTTGAGTGTACTAGCAGCTAGCAGACATGAGGATTCCAATTACTTTTGATCATAATTTGGTAATCAAAATGGAATTAGGATATGAGAAAACACATGTACGTTAACATTATATATGTGTTTAAACACTAAGTGAAATAAAGATTGTTCTAGTAGGGCTGGGCGATAATTCAGTAACGATATATATCGATCGATAGACGTGTGGTGCAATAGAAAAAAAGAGAGTCGATAAAAGTTCGATAAAGAAATGCAGTTTTCCATCCTTCTCATTGTAGCCTATAATGTAGGTTTATGCTAGTCACTACTTCCTCCCAACCAATCACAATTGTGGACTCAGGCACGCCGTCACAAAGCGCCGCCCTCTCAAACCACAACACAGAGCACATGAAGATGTTACAGCAAGGAGAGGCGGAGGAAATTGTTCCAAAGAAGGGTTTTTGTAGTTCGTCAGTTTTGCAGTATTTCGGTCATGGCAAGTCGGACTAAAAACAAACCACAGTCATCTGTAAAATGTGTAGGGAACCAGTGGGGGGCGGGTCCATATATTTACTTGTTATATTTATTTTGGTCACTTTTCTGGTCACTTTAGCTTATTCTTTGTCACTATTTAATAACGTAACTCATGTCTCTTAAGTTATTTTTCTTTAAAACAATTCTGTTATGGTTAAAAAAGTTGGTTAAATAAATATTTAATTGGAAGTCTGTGTTTGTGTTCTTTATTAGAATTAAATCATTTAGCAATATCATAAAAAGTCCAGGCAGAGCTGCACATAAAATATGGTTTCAAATCTTTTCAATAATTATCGATATCGATCAATATGCATTTTTTTTTATCGATAAGCTTTTTTTCTATATCGCCCAGCCCTATGTTCTAGCTTTATAAACAAAAGCTCAGACATGTTAACATAGCATACCATGCGATCCATCTTGTGAGCTTTGTCTTTACTCAACAGTAAACACCTGAAATAATCCAAAAAAAAAAACATCTAAGAAACAAAATAATTTAACTAGAATGTCTTCCTGACTTGTGCCAGACCTTAGCAGAGCTGAGCTTGGCAGGCCTACAGTAGGGGAGTTCTTTTTTTCCAGCCAGGTACACATCATGTAAGCTTTCCTCCTCATATCTTCAAGTATCTCAAAGTTCCTAAAAATGAATGATGCACACAGTCTGTTTTGCAGGATGTTGGTTTTCAATTTCAACCACTAGATCACCTTAGCCTTGGTCAGTCGGAAGAACTGGCCATGAGCAATGATCTATGATGGCTTCATCTCCAGTGTGGACCTCCCAGAGCCTCACGGAAAAGAGGAAGAGAAAAGCCTGAGACTTTTGATATGTCGTCAAGGCACATTGGGGGACAAAGGCACACCTCTGTAGCAGTGTCCTGTGATACTGTTTTGGGCTTGGGGAGGGTAACCAAAGCTTGAGTTTCCCCGAACAGCAGGGTCCAACATTTTTATAGTTAAGGCACAAGAATTATTATTATGATTATTATTATTATTATTATTATAAGTAGTAGTAGTAATAGTAGTAGTATTATTATTGTTATTATTATTATTATTATTATTATTATTATTATTGCTAAGATACCAGAAGTACACTCTGATCCCTCTCCTGTCTCTGACATTTACTTGTGAAACCCATTCCCCACCCCCATTTTCATCCCCACTCTCCACTAAGCTGACCCATGCCTTGCCTACCACTGACTCAACCCAATTATAAGAATATTGTGGCTAATACAATTTACAAATACCTTTTCTTTCACATAAAAACCTGTTATTTGGATTTACAGGTCAATATAAAAATTTAAACATATTGGTTTGGCTTGGTGTCTGCTTGCTGTTGAGGCTTGATAAGAGCAGTCAGAGCGTCTGATCATTCTGCTTTTATCACTTCACAACTGTGCATTAGCGGGCCATTATTTGTTTATGCAACACTGCATGGACATGGTTGTAGCACCTATTGAAAAATGGACTGTGTGAGTGCTTGTGCTTGGTGTGCATTTCTCATTTGTGATTACATTAAAAGGAAAACATTTCAAGGACAGAGGGCAATTTCTTATAGATTAAATAAAACCTTCAAGTAAAGGTTTAAAAGCACTGTCTACTTTTAAACCTCTCATAAAGTCAGGGCCTGTTATACAACAACCAAGACAACAGAAAGACGAAAATTAAATGCAATGATTGAAAAAAATAATTGCGAGTCTTAAAAGACCCGAAGAGAAAGAGTCCTAAATATTTATATCCCCACTTGTTTCTTAACTGCTACTTGAAAAAAACAAACAAAAAAAAAAGCTTGGAGAGGTAACTCCAAGTGTATAACATTTAAAACCCTCAGCCCCAAACTGGAAGTATAGATTTGGTATATTGTTGGGCCAATTAATGAACATTGATTCACTATGTTCACTAGTCATAAAGTGATGAAAAAAGTCAGTCACAATAGTTGAGTAGGCTGTGCTTTCAGGCATGTTTAACTGATAGAAAGAGCCCCAAATAAAAAAAGTAAAATATCCATTTGACACGAGGGATTGCTGTAGAGTCAATGAGTCGATGCAATTAGCTGGTTTTCCTTAGATAGAAAACTTTGAATCAATCTGACTGTATGATCTAGAACAATTGTCTTTGTAAAGTGCCTTGAGATGGCATGTGTTGGGAATTGGCATTATTATCTGAACTAAATTGAAAAGAATCCATCTTACAAATAAGACAAGACCTGAATGGAAACTTTCTTTGATGTTAAGGCAAATTTAAAGTCTTTAAAATTTGCTCCTGTTATTCAAATGAAACTAACCTGGCAACATATTTTAAATCTTTTTCTAACTGATTTTGAACTGCAGTCTCCTTTTGGTTCTAATGCTGCCTTCATTAATCTCCCACATTAAAGATAGTTGTAACAAATATCCACTTGGCTTTCTGTTGGCTTTCCATTATCTTGGACCATCCACAAAATACCCTAACCATGTTAATCATAAATACCACATGTATAATCAATCTATTGAAATGATTGGCTGAGTTTCTGTTTGTTTTAACAAGCAGTTGAACAAAAAAAACCTAATAAAGTGGCCAGTTACCATGAAAGTGCGAGTAATTAACAGCCTGATTATGAGAGGCGTCTTACCCTTGAAATGCAGAGGTAGTTTTATAAAGAGGCTGGATTAAGAATTACTCATGGATTATAGGTTTGGAGGTTAGGAGTTCAGGCATAAAGAAATCTCTAAATTGAAGAGCTCTAACATCATACAAATTCTGAGTGTCTGTGTGTGTATGTGTTGGTGTGTAAGGGGGGTCTGTTTTGTGTCTGTGCATGCATTTGAAAGCATATTTGCATATTTCTGTATTTTTAAACATGAACAAGGGCATAGGAGTGAATAAACCAGCATATGTTTGAATCAACAGGAAGCTCCTTATGTGATGTACAAGAAAAATTATATGCATCTGGAGGGGAATGAGAGATATGAAGGCTACTGCGTCGATTTAGCATCTGAGATTGCCAAACATGTTGGAATTAAGTACAAACTGTCAATAGTAATGGATGGCAAGTACGGAGCCCGAGACCCTGAGACCAAGACGTGGAACGGGATGGTGGGTGAACTGGTCTATGGGGTGAGTACTGGGAGTCTCTATTCTGCTGATTACATGACAGTTTGCAAGGAACTTCAACATGAGAGGAGATCTCATTTTTCTGTCTTAAGGTGATCACCAAACCCACTATGAACTCATCAGCTCTTGCCCCAGTTCAAAGTCCCATGATGTCCCATGAAGCTCAGCTGTGAGTGAATTTGTCAAATGCAGCCTGAAGCATTTGGGAGTTGGTGATCATCTTGAGACGGAGAAAATGAAATCATTTCTCAGTGCTGTTCATTGCATTTAATCCTTCTTGCTTAGTCTAGAAACTGTCTCTCTTCCTCTCTTTTTCTTGCAGTTGAAACAGAGGTAGGTACATGAAAACAATGAGTCCATATGGCAAACACACTGTAATCACTTTGATGAATGAAAGATTGTATGTCTTTGAAGTGACTGTGTAATTATGTTCAATGTTTCACGCGTTTGATGAATTATGCCACATTCACAGCTGAGTAATCTGCTTCAGAATCAACAGCTAAATGATGGTTTGCGGTTTGAAACAACAAGATCCATATGTGCTGCGCTTCACAACCTCTCGCATTAAGTCGGGGGTCACAGCGTGTTATACATCTGAGGAGAGCAAGCATGTAGCACTTGCAACACCTTGAGAATTTCCAAAATTATCCCACTCCCTCCTAGTGACTATTCTCTGAGGCCTTAATAGTTGAGCAGGGGCCAAATACAAAATGCATGAGAGTTAGACCTCTTCACTTGTTCAATATTCCTACTATCAGCCAGACAGATTGCTCAGTTTCATGTGCCAAATTATCTTTCAAATAGGAAAAGTCTACTCCCTGCAGATGAAAGTGGTGGGAAAATGATTCCAACCACATTGCTGTCAACTCTTTCCAGCCCTGTGCCTTTACAGCAGGTGGGCTGGATCTAATAGTTTTGTACATCGTAACCTTTTGACCAGTAAATTAATTTGATTTCAGTTGTCTTTTAAAAGGTTAGGCCCGAGGCTCCTCTTTATTGTTTTGTTTGCCTCGCCATTGATTGAGCAAAGCGCGGGAATTAAAATGTTATAGCCCACGTTTCAGTGTTGCGTTGACAGACTAAAGAAAACATTCTTATTTATTGGCTCTATTTTTGCCACTTCTTGCTCCGACCTCATAAAAAACAAACACTCTATTTCTCCTTCGATTCGATGTTTTCTCGTTTTCGACTTGAAAAGACAAACGCAGCACAATGCAACAATGGACGCTTTTGTCTTTTCCCACACTAGCTCCTTTGAAGAGGAGCATTATTTAATTAATCGCACACGCACAGAATGCAGTAAAATTGTCTAACGTGATTAATTATTTTCTTCTGCTTTTACAGAGAAAGCCGTTGTGATTTCTGAAAAAAGGGCAGCAAAACCACCTTCATTGGATTTGTTTTGATAGCATAATGTGATTGAAGAAGCAGAGCAAAGGGAGAAGGAGATAAAGAGAAACAGCTTGGAGGAAAAAATACGGAGCCAGAATAAGCTATGTCTGGGAAACCAAGTGAAGGACACAGCCAGACCTCTTAAATTTATATATGCAGCAATAACTTTATATTCAGACGCTGGAAATATTTGAAAGACATGCACTTTTCTTTCCTACTTTGGTGCAAAAATCCGGTTTAATCTTTAGTTTCTATGTATCTTTAAATTTCTTCCACTTTCTGCCTCATTTAGTCAAACATGACTCAAATACCCTTCTGTCTCAATGGATCCCTTCCAAGCTGCCTCTCTTTGAGTTTTTCTCTTTTCTTCTTCTAAATGGAGCAACATTTCTATGTGAAATTTTGCTTCACTCTGTTCTCATCTTAGATGTATTACCTACGTTTTCAGCAACTTTTCTGCTTTCCTGTTATTCATCTTTCTTTTTTTCACAGCTTTCCTGAGAGAGGATTTTTTCTTTCTTTACAATAATACATAAACTGAGATTGAAACAGCTGCAGCTATTCACACATACAATGACCTATATCCCTAACATGTTTCATGACTAATGCTTGCTGTGCATGTCCCTATTTCCAGAGGGCAGATATAGCCGTTGCGCCTCTCACCATTACTCTGGTTCGAGAGGAGGTGATAGACTTTTCCAAGCCCTTTATGAGCTTGGGCATCTCCATTATGATAAAGAAGCCACAAAAGTCCAAGCCTGGCGTGTTCTCCTTCCTGGACCCACTGGCCTATGAGATCTGGATGTGTATAGTGTTTGCCTACATTGGCGTGAGCGTGGTCCTGTTCCTGGTCAGTCGGTTCAGCCCATATGAGTGGAACCTCGAGGAACAGGATGAGACCAAAGACCCCCAGACTCCCCCCGATCCTCCCAATGACTTTGGCATCTTCAACTCACTCTGGTTCTCACTGGGTGCCTTCATGCAGCAGGGCTGTGACATATCTCCAAGGTGGGTCAGCTCCAGCAGACACCTGGATTGAATGGTGACAAGAAATAAAGTAGAAATGAATGTTTTAAATTTTTTTTTCTGAATTCTGTATTCCATGCACACTGGTGTCCAGGTTTGTTATGAGATTGAATCATATTGAGGTAGTTACTCTTTAGGTAAAAACTAGTGCTTATTGCAGGGAAAGGGATCTTTAGCATTAAAGCATCAGCATGCTGGACAAGCGGTATAATGATCCTAATTTTGAAAACCTCACATGACTTGTCCTAACATTCTTCAGAATTTTATCCAAAAAGAACATTCATTAGCCTCTTTCTAAAAGACTGGCTTTTTGTTATTTTATGTGTGTGGCATGTGAGTTGTCAGCCAGCTACTGACATGCCTCTAAGCTGAACACCAAGTTAATAACAGCTCTGTTCTGGTCATCTTATGTAAGTATTTGCACTATTCAATGGTGCAATGTAAAACTTAAGACAATCTGTGCCATCAGCTGTATGGTGGATTTAAGGCACAAACAAAATGGAAACACAGCTACAGTAAGCAGTGTGTCATTTTATAAATAAACACAGATTGGACGAGTCTTTTTGAAGTGTTGCAGGACAGGATAGATCAGTGAAATTTAGCCAAACGTAGTGCTTACACTTGATAATAAGAGGATATTGATAACCTTTACACCAACTGTTACACCTTTTTAGAATGGGAGACTTCCGATGCATTTTATGTGTAACACTCGAAAACAAATTTACAGCCAAATAGGTACTGATTAAAAAAGATTAAAAAAATCCGATATCTTTTACTATTTTCTTCTAGCCCACTGATTGATTTTCTGCTCATTTTAAGTATGAACCAGGAAATTCTAAAGACTTGTGACCATCTGTACACTGTACACAACTGGTATATGCTAGCAGCTTTGCAAGCAAAACATGTGACTAACTGCATTCTTTGTTTCCCCATCATACACCATCCCTCTGTCAGGTCTCTTTCAGGGCGTATCGTTGGTGGTGTTTGGTGGTTTTTCACCCTTATCATTATCTCCTCCTACACTGCCAACCTGGCCGCCTTCTTGACCGTGGAGAGAATGGTGTCGCCTATAGAGAGTGCTGAGGATCTAGCAAAGCAGACAGAGATAGCATATGGCACTCTGGACTCAGGCTCAACGAAAGAGTTCTTTAGGGTGAGTAGAGTCAGAAAACATTTTTTTTTTTTTGTGCAATGTACCAGTTGACTTGCAGCTGCCAGATGATATGGCAAGTCACATTGAACCCAAAACATTGAATCATAAACCTTTCCTATATATTTAATCAACAACTGCTTGAAGCTATTCCTTTTTATGCTTCATTTAAGAACCCTTGACCTTTGAAAAATTGCCCCTTAGAAGGCATCCTGACGAATAGGCAGTTCTTGTACTCTTTCGACATAAGTGTCAAATTTATGCAGCATGCACTGTAGTGCGCAACCTTGAGGCCTCTTGAGGCTGTCAGCAGAAAGCATGATAACAACAAGGAAGACACAGAGGTGATAAAACAGCAGGCTAATCAAAGCACCCACATAAGACTCAAATTCAGAAGGGTCAGTTCATGAGTTATAATTAGCAAGGTAGCCCTGGCTGGCAAATTGGCTATGATGAAGAAGAGCCCCCGCAGGTCAAACGAAGCAATTGGAAAGACATTTCAGAAGGAATCAGCGATATGTCCGCCGGTGGTGGGAAACTAGCTCAGCAATTAAGTTATAAATTAACTACAATCTGAGGCATGACTCTCTAAGAACTATTCACATGCTCACAGTACAAGAGTTAACCAAAGCTGTATGCTGTCTGGACAATCTGCTCTGGCATCCATAGATGTTTTAGCTCATGGTGTGTTCACAATGGCACCCCTGACAACCAATTCATGAAACATTGCTCTGACTGTGATGACAAAAAAGGCAATATGACAGTCTTTTATCTTATGCTCTCTCGTTACTCATCAGCAGGAGAGAAACAATACATATGTTAAACAGCTGCAGTCTGTTGGCAGAGAGACTCCGTGTTGGAGTTGAATTTTGATTCACTACCAAAAAATCCAGACTCAAATCAAAGAACGACGAGGTACAGTCTACAAAGCATTTTTTTATTTTTATTTTTGGATTAAGGACTGCAACCCCTTGTGAATAAGGCATATGAAATTGAATGCAGTGCAGATAATGCTTTTTATTTAGGAAAAGATAAGGAGTGACAGTAAATTTATTTTTCATGGAACAGCTCACAAAACGCTGTCACTGTTATGCTTTTAATCAAACGTGCAGTGCAGGTGTAAGCCTGTAAAGTCCATGATAGTGGCAGTTGAAAATGGAGACGACCTGAAAGGTTTGCTGTGTCACAGAGCAATGGGAAATGTGTATGGGGATTTCCATTCTTATGTATTCTGTCTTACGAGTGTCCTAGTTATACATCCCCAAGTCTTCAAACAGGAAATGACATGTGTGAAGCTCTGTTCCAGGGGACTTCTTAATTAAAGCTGCAGAGGACTGACAAAGAAGAAAACTCACTGATTAATAGGAGTTCAGGTTCCATTTCAGGTCTTTTTCTCCAGAAAATACATTCATTGCTAATTAGACCCATATGGCATCAGCCAGCTAGAGATTTTAAGTCAATCCAACTTTTCAAACCAGGGTAATGTCATCACGCCTAACACCATCAGCCTTTAATTTTTTATCCTTTCTCCTGGTTTATTTTCCAAGGTTCTCTCACAAGTAGAACAACTTTTGTCATGGAAAGGATTTCGTTGTTTTTTTTAGCTGCATATAATTACGAAACCTAGGTTAATTAATGCTGTTGTTTTTGGGTAAATTATTTCACTCATTTTTCTACCTGACAAGAACCATAATGCTCTGTGAAGTTTGTATCTTCCTGAAAGCTTTAAATGTTATATCAAACACTGAGTTTTACAACAGATTCACCTTTAAGCCTAAATTCTGATGCCCAGTGACACTAGAGCAGCTGGCCTGGGAGCTCATTGATGTGCCCTGTATAAGCCTTAAACACTCAAGGCATTTGCCACTGGCTTTCTTAGAGCTCTTGGCATTTTCCCCAGACTACCATGCTTGCTTGAAAACATTTCCTGGCCACTCTTTAGCATGTCTGGTTTAACTCGAAATGCCTGCTTTGTGTAAACACTGCAGATACAATGCACTTCATTTCTTTGCTTAAAGTTAGCAAATAATGGTTTCAGTTATCTGAAAATAATGAAGAGGTTCATAAGTTCTCATTGACAGAATGTTTGGAACTCCTGTTGCTGATATTGATATTTGATGGTTGATATTTTCTGAACCCCTTCTTGGAAAAAATAACTGTACATAGATTCTCTGCAATGTTAAATTTTACATCAGTGCAAAAAAAAAGGGCTATTGTTGACCTCTTCCTAAGTGCCCCCATATGCAGTCTTCTGTTCAGTTCAAATCCAAAAATGATCAAAGAATGTATGCTCAAGTTGTTTTCTATGTTGAATTGGTCCAATGAATTTAGTTTTTTATCTTGTTTCTTTGAGCAGATTTTATGATGTCTGTTTTGCAATCAAACTAGGTAATCAATACCCTCAGCTTTACAAAACCTCTTCTATACCTAACCCACTGTTAGGCATGATGTGCCTCTCCCCATGTTTATCTTTTGCTCCTTCTCAAACTGAGTTGGAGGTTTTTTGAAAGAGCTCAATCTTTGCCTCATGAGACCAAAGTATGCAGTTTTAGTTAAACTCCCCCTAAACTTCAACCATCATTTAACTTTTATACAGTCAGGAAGCAGAAGAATTTATGGACTCTTGAGTTTATGGACTATTTAACCTGTTAAAAGACCAATCAAAAAACTTAGTTTTACTTTACTGGTAGACTCAAAATTCTTTTTTTTTTAAAACAACTCACAATGCCAAAAGTTCAAAGAAGTTTCTTTACCATTTTAGAAGTTAGCTAAAAGCCCAAAGTATCACAGATTCCTGACAATACTTCAAAGACAACATAAAGTAATTTTGCATATATTCATCAGTTGTTTCACATCAAAACCAATTGTGATTTTTTGGTGCAAAAAGCTAATCTCATCTTAACCAAACACCAATTCCAGTTAAAATTCCTATGGAGTTTTAAAATCAAATAAAATATCAACAAAAAATATATATATTTCTTCTTAAGTCATGTCTTTTAATTGCATCTCTGCTATTCTCTCGCTACCTAGGCCTGAGTGTAAGTTTAAAATGGCTGAAAGCAACAGGCAGCTGCTAGAGAAGCAAAAAATAATAAATTATGGGTGGTTCTTTTGTTTTGTTTCTCCTAGACATTCTTATAAACTTAGAAAATAGAGCGTAAGTTAAGGTCTGGGTTTTTATAAATACTGCCTTAGGTCACTTCAACAAAAAGATTGATTATTTAAGACTTATTTAAACATGTATTCATTGTACAGGGAAAAAAATTGATCTAATAACGTTGATGATTAAAATTGTTTGACATGGTTGATTACCTAAAATAAATGGAATGGATCACTGAAAGCAAACCCAAATGTCCCTCCATACTCCTCTTTAGGCATAAAGGCAGGAGAGTTATAACTGCATGGAGAAATAAGGATTTTGATACCTCCAAGACGAAAAAAAAATTGTTGGCCATTACCCAAAGCGTCAATGGCAAACCATCATGCATCTTAGTGATCTTAGAATGGTGGAGATAGCTAGGGTGCAGGCACCAATACATTCCGCAGAGCAGAAAAATCAATTTCACGTCTCAGCTATTGTGGCACACACAGTTGTTTCAGGATGGTCTGGTACAATGGTTAATAAGCAGCTCTTTGTCCTTTGCAGACTAGTATTAGAGGAGGGTTTCATGGAGAAGAGATAGAAAGGCGATTCTGTGTAAGAAAACCTTAGGTAGTCGTATACAGCACAACTCCCAGAGCTCTTGTCACTTTGTGTTTTTTGAATAGCGTTAAGTAAAAGGGAGGTTCCTACAAAGATCAGAGTCTGTTTGCATGACAGAAAAACCTGACAAATGTGCATGCTTCGAGATAGGCGTAACCTCAGAGGAAAAGTACAGTCCTCTGAGGATTCTCTAAAGTAAAGAAGAGCGGCAGCAGGCGGAGGGAAACCGTTGGAGTCCGGCACCCAGCATCAAAGACGAGTAATTGGTATTCAGGGTGAAGCATGTGGTACTTCAGTAACAATATACACCCCCCCAGCCTCAACTTTCATCTCTGCCTCCTTGAGATACAGGTAGTCCTGGCATACAGGATTCTGAAGGGAAGCAGCAATGTTCGACGGACAAAATGGAAGGGAAGTTCTTTTGAATGAAATGTTGCAGAAGTGCTCACCATTGGCCTTTAAATGCACAAGCAGTAGAGCATACATGGGGGAGGCTGTAATGAAAGCAGTCCTGCATTGCCAGAGGGAGAATAATAAAGACGCTGCAGTTCGTAGGCTAGTGGGCAGAGGGCTGGAAATGCTGCGTAACTCAAAATCGATACAGATTAAGTGGTTACTTGGAATGGAGAGGTCAATTTATTTGACTTAGGAGTTTAATCACTTGTCTTTTTGGAGAGGTTTTAATGACATGTTTTGAGATTATAAAGAAAAGAAAGAAAATCTCTTTTCACTAACTTATACAACAATCCATTAAAATACAATATCATACGGCCCCTCTCCCTGTCAATAAAGCTTTTAGAGGTATACTAAACAATCAGAACTTAGCAGAGATAGGCCTTAGAATTGGCTGAGACTTTTCTTCCATTGCAAGAAGATACTGTGCTTTTAAAGAGCGGAATTAAAAAGAAGGAAAAAAATCATAATACAATTAGATATTTTATTGTATAACTGCTGTTTTAGCAATAACTAGGCTTATTGTTTTGCAACTTGTTTCATAGTTAAGCTATGTGTTTCATAGCAGATTTTTTACAGAAAAAATCCTGTAACAAGCAATATGTGGGGCTGTAATTAAAAACATAGAGGATGCTAAATGTCTTAAATTAAATTATATTTGAATTACAGCAAAAGTAACAATTACACCCTCATAAGAAAAGCAATTAAATGCATGCATTAGTAAGACTTATGAACATGCATAGTGATTTAACACAGTTAAAATCGTCTAAAGTCAGATTCTTTTTGTAAGTGCTAAGCAGTTTTTATGTTGCTTGTAAAGGATAATTGTTTTACAGTCTGTGTTAAT